CTAATTAGGATGAATAATTATATGACACATGTGTTTTATCAGATATAAAGTCACTCCATGTGACATATTATGGCCGATATGATTTGCCACAAGGTTTACGAATTATTAATGAGTATTTTAATTCAGTATAATTTCTCACAAGCCATTCACATGTCACCATTTTCACAATGTTGATTCACAACATTAACATTTTAAGAAGTGGCAAAGTGCCTTACTTTATTATTTTACTCTGTCGATTGCCAGACAATTTCACCCATCAAGGGGAGCAGTGCTACTCATTGTGTTAAGAATGTAGTTAATTATATTCCTGAGTGTTTTGACAGGAAAACACGACACGTTTTTTCAAGCAAAATGAAGAGTCTGCAGTTTTGGTAATACCTTAAATTCTTTGGCTTTACTTGTAGACTTCAATTTCTCTTTGGGCAAAGCTCGTATTTTCTTACTATCAAACGAGACCCACTCGTCATATCGAGAGTTCCATCCTTCAAAATGAATCAAGATTTTCTTCTTCTTGTGGTCAACCTTCGCAATCTTTGATACATACCTGATGTAAAATACAATTTTGTGTTATATAATCTTAAACTGCCTGGGTAGTGTCAATAGACCTTTCCCCTTTTGAGTGAAATTTTGATCTAGACAAGTCTGGACAAAAAATTCATCACAGCTTGAAAGAGCATCACAAAATTTGTAATATTCCGAAGTTTCGTTGCGAAATGTTGTAAAATGCGGATAATATAGCCTTGCGAAGTTTGCCGTTTTTCAGTCATTTTGTATTACAAATGGGAAATTGATAATCAGTTTGATCATCTGATTATCAATTTCCTGTTTGTAATACAAAATGACTGAAAAACGGCAAACTTCGCAAGGCTATATTATCCGCATTTTACAACATTTCGCAACAAAACTTCGGAATATTACTAATTTTGTGATGCTCCTTCAAGCTGTGATGAAATTTTTGTCCAGGCATATCTAGATCAGAATTTCACTCATAAGGGGAAAGGTCTATAACAACAAGCTGTCGTTAGTAGGGATGTAACAACCTGAAAAATATGAGGAGAATTTCGACAAGGGGCCTTCGCTCGAAACGTTGAAATTCTCCTTATATTTTTCAGGTAGTTGTATCCCTACCAACGAAAGCTTGTAAATATAAGCTGTATTTCTGTGAGGAGAACGAGGACGCAGCCCTAGTTTGTCTGCGTTTACACAAATAATGAAAATCCGTCACCATCGATCCTTAAATGACATTGGATAAATTATAACATGGCTTGGACAAACTATCGCATAATCTACACAAACATATTTGTTTCACAGAATCGTTGCTAGTATAAGTCATGCTATTCTGGCTAGTTCGTTTAGATATTTATACTGAGAGTGATATAATCCACTTCTAGTATAATCCAGAATATCTATAAAATCTATATGCCCAAAATGTTTAAGTACCTATCGTTAATAAACTAGATAAAAAACCATAAAATATACTATAATTGTCGCTTACCAGTTACACATATAATCCATGGCCTCGAGTCTATTTCCAACAACAAACTCAAGCTTGTTAGGCGAGCTATCTTTACTCGAATATGGACTAGACGATGTACTCGATTTGCCCGACATTTTAAATCCTTCCCCCACGCAAAACAAACGAATTTAGACACAAAAACCAACGTTCACGGACAACACCTGAAGTCTTTAACACATATAAACTTTCAATTGTAACGTTAGACCATATTTACAACGAGAAAAGCGCGAAAAATAGAAAATAAAACCATGCATGCTTTATTTTATTTGTGCATCAAACATTTGTCCGAGCAATTTCGTGGAGTCTGGTGACGAACCTAAAATCTGCAGGTGTTTTGTGGGTTTGAATCGTTAATTAGCATATGTTAATTAAACTATTCATTGTTTATTAATTATTAATTATGCATTATTAATTATTGATATCTATGCACTGATTAGTCTACCCAATAACAACGCGCAATGTGTCCGGTGGCAATATTAATTAATGTTTGCGTAATGATGTGAGGTGAATTATCTTATTTTCCTCATATGTGAATGGCTTAAATTTAATAGAATCATAAGAGAAGTAAAATCAAAGGTAGGTTGCTTTTCCTTACAAATATGTCGACTTTGTATGTACAATTTTGCGTTAAAATAAATTTACTGCGTATATATAAGTTTTTGCTTGAAACGATTTGGGTTAGCTGTGCATGGGAACAGTTCCACTGAGCTATATAGAAAGAACTGAACAGTTCACGAATTTCGTGTAGCCCACGCAGCAATGAACCAATGAGAGTGAGCCAGCTCACTGGACCGCGCGACTCTTTTGAAAGCACTTTGCAACAAATCGATTCAATTTTCATTTAGTATACAACACGTTACCAAGTTTAAACCATGTTTTTTATTATAAATTGTAAGTGTTTTTCTTGTTTAAAAACTGCATTTCAAACTACAGATATTGAACTTTATGTGTAGCAAGAAATCGCGGAAAAATGAGTGTTTAAAGTGGTTCTTCTCAAACTTTTATTTAGGTGTTACAGTCCTGTGTAGCGTTGTTCTGACGGAAGCGCTCTATGGATCGAGTAGCGACGTAGTCGAACTAACAGCTGGAAATTTTGATGGAAAAGTTATACAAAGTGACGATATTTGGCTTGTAGAGTTCTATGCACCATGGTAATATTTTTGGAAAAAAGTTGTATATGTATACAGGGGCTTCGCTGAAAGTAAACACGGTTTATAAATAGTGCTTATTAAATATGTGCGTCCCCAGGTTGAAACTGATACGTTGACACGTGTAGTTTAAATACACAGTATTTAATAAATTTGATATGTTGCGTTTTAATTTGCATCATGTTCAAAATGTAGGGATAGAAATGAAACCCACATATAGTTGATACTAAGTTATAATTAGTTATTTAAGCCAGAAATTGTATAATAATTATTGCTTGATGTGAAAGGTTTTTATTCAATACAATGGAATTTTTCATTTTTTTTTGCAAGAGGCTTTTTACACTTTAGCTTGTGGGAGGCCCAACCAAGTTACAGAGCATGCTCAGTAGTGCACAATTTCCAATCATCGCCCACATCAAAATGATTTATCAAAATAGGTGCGGTCACTGCCAGTCATTGGCTCCAGAATGGAAGAAAGCTGCCACAGCATTGAAGGTAGGTAACTTACGTATACCAGTACTTTTCTAACCACAGACAAATTTTCAGATAGGAAACACTTTTCAGCCTCAGATACACATCTCTTAAAACCCCTTGTTAACTTCCCTACCTCGTTAGTTGCCCACCTCGTTAGTGTGCCCACCTCGTTAGTTTGCACCCACCTTGTTAGTGTGCCCACCTTGTTAGTTTGACCCCACGTCGTTAGTGTACCCACCTCATTGGTTTGCCCACCTCGTTAGTTGGCCCAACTCGTTAGAGTGCCCTCATATCAGGACTAATTACATTTTAATGGACTTAGGGAATTATCAAAGTTGGTGCTGTGGACATGGATGTTCACAGTTCTGTTGGAGGCCCATACAATGTGCGAGGTTTTCCCACGATAAAGGTGAGCGAGTCAGAGAGTCTGGACACAAGATTGGATTCTTTCATGTAGTTTCACAGACAATAGGGCCATTTATACGAGACAAAATAAGACGCGACTTACATAAGACGCAACTTAAATAAGACGCGAGTTTGTCGTATAAAAGGCACAAAATTCTTATGTAAGACGCGTCTTGGATAAGACGCGTCTTACATAAGAACAGGACTTTTAGCTGTTCTTATTTAACTTAAATAAGATATTTTAGACAAAAATTCTAACTACACATGTCTGAAACTTGAAACAACGAGCCTTGCATATTAAAACAAAAACAATCGAAACAACATAGCTATCGCAAGTAAATAAGAATAAAGCCGTAGAGAACCATTTATGCGATAACTCCACTTATTTAAGTCGCGTCTTATGTAAGTCGCGTCTTATTTTGTCTCGTATAAATGGCCCTAATGTGCCTGCCATTGACGAATTGTTTTGACTTCTTCCAAATTATAGATTTTTGGTGCTAACAAAAACTCTCCAGTTGACTACAATGGTAAGATCATGGCTTGTGTAGGTGCCTTAAAAGACAGTCTGTACATGGGCTGCTTGTTAACTGATTAATAGGGATTTCTGTATACTGATATATAAATTTATCAAGTATACCATTTTACATCATCAGGTCCACGTACAGCTCCAGGACTTACGAAGGCAGCTTTAGAGGCAGCGCAGAGTGCTGTCAATCAAAGATTAAGTGGCGGTGGGGGAAGCAGGTCAAGTGGTGGAGGAAAGGTGAGTTTGCAAAGCAAAGAAAAGGTTAAAATTTATACCACCTTAGGGCTATACATGTTGTTTGTTAACTCTACTTATGTTGGAGTTTTCAAAGGTTGCCATGATTGTACTTTATTTCACTATTGTTTTCAACCTAGGCATGGGCAATACAAGTTTTGGCCAGATACTTGATATTTTGGTCAATACTGATTTCAACAGTGACGAGATAATGTTTTAATAGCAAGGATATACTAATTCAGGTCAAGGATTCGGAATAGTCAATACTCATAGTATCTTCATGTCTTCTGTAAATACAATTACAAGCCTCAAAATGACAGTGCAAGTTTATGCAGCTCTTTTACTTAAAATTCTCCCTACATGACCTGCAAACTCTCAAAAACTCTCTACATTTTTTATAAATTCTGACCAAAAATATTGCAGGCTCAAGTGGTGTCGAAATCACCAATACTGTTTATGCCAATATCTAAAGTATCGATAGTTTTGCTAGCGTCGTTGCTATTGATACTTGGTATCAGTATCGGTCCATCTCTACATGTCGCTGTCACAATTTGGAAAGAGTTTAATATGTAGCAATGTCTTGGTGTGAAAATGTACCAGCTAACGTTTCCATACAACAGAATGTTCTCTGTATTTGTTTAGACTGGTGGTGGTGGCGGCAGTGGTGGCAGTGGTAACGCAAAAGATGTCATTGAACTCACAGACAGTAATTTTGAAGAAAAAGTACTTCAGAGTAACGAACTCTGGCTGGTCGAGTTCTTTGCACCATGGTAGGTATTCATGCAGATGAGTCAACAATTAATATCAACGAAAAAATAATTACTTACCAAAGTGTCAATTTGTTTTCATTGAATAAAGTCCAGCAATTCTTTGATTATACCAGCAGTCACAGTAGGAAACCAACTCTATAAGATTCCTTGATAAATTTTGTCTTTAAAAACTTTCTATTTTGTTTGCTTTTCTTTACTTTACTTTACTATCTGCTTGATTTTCTGCTTCTGAAAAAATATTGTACCGAGTTTGCGAGTACTTTGTCCAACGCGAAAGGATTTCATTCTGCCCGAGGCTCTTGTCCACTTCAACCTAGGCGCATTTCTTTGTTTCCTGGGCGCTAGGATACTGTAACTGTTAGAAATTTACATTTTAAATTTTGTAATAATTAGTTTTGAGGAATCTAAACCAAGCCCAAACCAAACCATTGACTTGGAAGTGGACAACAGCTGTGACACGAAACGCTTTCGTTGCTCGTATTACTTCAGCATTCATCGTAAGAACTATTTACAGACCACTAATTTGCACTGATGAAGATTGGACTTAGCCTTAGGGGATCAAGAGAATTGATCTTGACCAAATAAATAAAGCGATGTTCTACCAGTGTTTTCCCACAAAACAAATAAAACTTACTTCAAATGTCTTGTGATTCTCCAGGTGTGGACATTGTCAACGTCTTGAACCCGAGTGGAAGAAAGCTGCCACTGAACTAAAAGGCAAAATGAACCTTGGAGCCTTAGAGCCACTGTTCACCAGGCAATGGCACAACGCTACGGTGTACAAGGTTTTCCTACCATTAAATACTTTGCACCAGGGAGCGAGCCTGTCGACTACCAAGGCGGGAGAAGCGCTTCGGATATATCCAATTTGGCCTGTCCAAGGCGTCTGAAAATGTAGCACCGCCCGAGGTAGTCCAGCTTACTGAAAGCAAAATTCTGAAAGATAACTGTGACGAGAAAACCAGGCAATGGCACAACGCTACGGTGTACAAGGTTTTCCTACCATTAAATACTTTGCACCAGGGAGCGAGCCTGTCGACTACCAAGGCGGGAGAAGCGCTTCGGATATAATCCAATTTGGCCTGTCCAAGGCGTCTGAAAATGTAGCACCGCCCGAGGTAGTCCAGCTTACTGAAAGCAAAATTCTGAAAGATAACTGTGACGAGAAACCGCTGTGTATTGTGTCGATTCTGCCTGATATTCTCGATACCGGAGCGGCTGGGAGGAACGAGTACCTAAAGATTCTCTTAGAAATTGGCGAGAAATACAAGAGTAAGTTATGGGGTTGGGTTTGGACCGAGGCTGGAAAACACTCGAAACTTGAAGAGGCTTTAGGGATGGGGGGTTTTGGCTACCCCACCCTAGCCGCTGTCAATGTGCGAAAAATGAAATTCTCCATATTAAAGGGGTCGTTTGATAAAGCTGGTATCGACGAATTTCTGCGTCGGTTAGCAGTCGGTCGTGGTTCTACCGAGCCAATCCGGGGGGCGGCTTTGCCCGAGCTCGAGACCGTGGAGTCCTGGGACGGGCTAGATGGACAGTTACCGGAAGAGGAGGATATTGATTTGAGTGACTTCGATATGGATGAGGATAGTGAGAAGGATGAACTATAATAACTGGAGTGACATTCATACATGATGAACTATAGTAAAACAGAGATTGATTGTTTATATTCTCAGGACGTGTGTGTGTTTATTTCCTACCTGATACGATGATGCTGCGTCCGAAATGTGTGCAAAGATTTTGTTTAGGAAATAAATTGATTTTCAAACTTTACACTGTTGTTACCTTTTTGTGTTAATTTCTTACAAATCCTTCAAAACGTAGAGTTGACCCATGCAAAATTCCTACTGTGATCACAGAAAATTTGATAATGTAAACCATCCTCTTAGGAAAGCAGTTTGGAATGGACCTTTAACCTTATAACTAAAATTTTGATCTAGACAAAAATTTCATCACAGCTTGAAAGAGCATCACAAAATTAGTAATATTCCAAAGTTTCGTTACGAAATGTTGTAAAATGCGGATAATATAGCCTTGCGAAGTTGCAATTTTCAGTCATTTTAGATTACAAACGGGAAATTGATACCCAAATCGGGTGTTTGGGTATCAATTTCCCGTTTGTAATCTAAAATGAGTAAATGACTGAAAATTGCAAACTTCGCAAGGCTATATTATCCGCATTTTACAACATTTCGCAACGAAACTTCGGATATTACTAATTTTGTGATGCTCTTTCAAGCTATGATGAAATTTTTGTCTAGACTTGTCTAGATCAAAATTTTAGTTATAAGGTTAAAGGTATTGATAAAACTATCCAGTATAAAATTAGTTTAACTTCGAGTGACAGTCTCGATTCAAACAGTCAAACACAATATTTAATAGAAATTTAATAGATATTTTTTAAAACATTCATTTTTCATGCAAAGTTTTTCTATATAACTCTCTATATACAACGTGCGTAAATTATTCGCCAATATAAAATTGAAATCTTTCCTACCACCTTGGTATTCGTAATGTAAAATTCATCCGTAAATAATTTTAATTGTGCTTGAAATCATTCGAGATAATCATGTCTGCTCATATATACTTGAAAATAGATTTGATTCTTCAACAAGTCGTATCCTGAGTTGGACAGATGTTTGAAGCAATTTTGGTTACCCCTAGACATATACCAGACTCTGATGGAACAAAACTGTAGCATTTTGTTCCATAGACCTCTCGCTGGAAAAGTCAAGCTTAATCTTTTTCAGGTAATCGTAGTTCAGACCCAAACAACGGCAGCTTATTTATAACGGTTAAAATCTCATTCAAACTAGTTTCGAGCTGGTTTCTTACCAGTTTTAAACTAGTTTTAACCAGTTTCAATCTAGTTATTAAGTTATTACAACTCTTGCATATTAACGGTTAAAATCTCGTTTCAACTAGAATCAATCTAGTTTAAAACTGGTTTCTAACCGGTTTAACCTCGTTTCCGACTCAGAATACGCATGTTACCATACAGAACAACCCATCATAAATCTTCATCCTTGATGTCTTGCGCAAAAACCTCGTTTTTGACTGAAGCAATTTTCTTTGATTTCTTCTACAAAATTGACATTAAAGATTGCTTTGGAAACACAGTATCTTCAAAAAACTTCAAGAACTATTTAAAACATGAGCAGCAGTGTTTTATCAGATATAAAAATACGAGGCGGAGCAGAGTATCTTTAGGTGTGATAAAACACGAACTGCGAATGTTTTAAATTGCTTCAAAAACGATCGATGTAGTAAGTTCATTGGCGAAGTAATTAATCAAAAAATACGTTGTGTAAGTCGAGAAAATCAAAGTTAAAGTTTATGTAAATCAAGGGAAATCTTTATCACATATAAAATAAAGATACGACACGCTTATCATTTTCTCTGTGTTTTCCTCATGAATTATTAATGTATTTTTCAATGAGATTTAATAACATAGAACATACCTTTTTAGAGCTCCGTTTGGTTGATGGCGAATCTGTACTGGGTTTGTCACTGCTCTTTTCCGCTCCACCCTAAATAGAAAATATTTGTATTTGTGGTCGGGCCTTTCTCAGGGACCCCGGAACTGGGGGGCAGGAGGGGCAGCCGCCCCCGTTGCCCTTTACCAGGAAGGGCAAGGGTGGCAAAGGTGCCCTTTCACTTTAAAGGATTGCCTTGGCGAAATTATAGCGAATTGTCAGAAATGTTAGTGAGATTCTTTTACGAATTTGCTTCAGAAAACGCAAGAAATGCAGTCATCGAGCTTCAAGAATAGCACAATCGCCTGGCAGAGAACCCCCTCACACCCCTATCATCCAATCAATAGAAAACATGATTAGGCGAAGTTCAACTCCCGATGTTTTGCAAACATCTCTTAGTATATATCAATTCAAAAGTTTACCCTTTCACGAAAATCTGCCCCCCTTGCCTTCACATCGTTCCGGCGTCGCTGGCCTTTCTTTATGATCTTGAGTGGTCTAGTGTCAGTGTAGGTATAGTGTCAGTCATAAGAAAGTGTGAAGGCCCTTGATCGTGAAGTTCTCCTTGTATTTTTCAGGTAGTTGTATCCCTTACTTAAGTTTATAGTCGACTACTTAGTATCGTGCAGCAGATGTTGGTCAACCTGCAGTTATCAGAGTGAGAAAATAATGTTCATTCTTTTCATTATGTTAGTAGTCTTGTATTTGGTGGCAAATAAATTAACCCCTGAAGTGTCATTGCACTCTAATGCGCCCTACGTTATTATTTTACTCTGTCTAATGCCAGATGATTTTACTCGCCAGGGGGAGAGTGCTGCCACTCAATGGGTTAATCAGAATATCTGATCATGCACCATGCTAACTCTTGAAGTGTCAATACGCCTTGATGCGCCCTACTTCGTTATTTTACTCTGTCTAATGCCAGATGATTTTACTCGCCAGGGAGAGAGTGCTGCCACTCAGTGGATTAGAGGGATTTAGTTTCTTCTTTTCTGTGAGTGAAGTTATCACACGTACTTCATCAGAAGACTGTGAGTCTTGTTTCTTTTCTTTCTCGACATCTTTCTTAGCCGTTGTTGTAGACTGTTCTTTGGCCGTTGTTGTGGATTGTTCTTTGGCTGATGCAGGAGATGCTTGTTCCTTTGGTTCTGGCGCCTCAGACTTCTTGGGCTTGAATTGAGGAAATTATATTTAGGGCAGTTTTAAAATATATAAATTCAATTTGCTTGTAATCTCAAGATAGATAACTTCATATTTAAACAAGCTACAGTATACACACTGATTCCCATGAACCTGTCCATACCTTCATCTTCGATCTCTGCTGGACGATTTCATCTACCATACCTTGAAGACATAAACTCATGAGCATCGCCTGAAACAAACATAAAAAATTAACATTGAAAAGATGGTCCTTGCTCATATACTACATGGACAGTTCAAAATGTACCTGGTCGCTTGTAATCGTTATCCATTGGAGTTTATCTTTAGTGAACAAATATTCAAACGCGATTTTCGTGACAATTTCGCCATCATTGTCTCTCTATATTTAAAACAGAATTATTGTAGATATAATATTTACAGATCGGCTTCATCATTTCAAGAGATACAAGGAATATAACTATAGTCTTTTGAGACATGGTCTGGAAACTCATTAAACTTCAAAGCGGTTATAATGACCTGGGAGTTTATGTTGAACTGTACTTTACACCATGCATGCACATCCTTCGTTTTAGGTTTATTAATATTTAAATAGCATGGTTGAATGATTGAATTGAAACGTTGCTATTGGATGATTCGTTCATTATACTGAAATACAATGTGTTCATTGACCGTGTGCACCGTGCACAAAACTGCATAAACGCGAACAAAAAGATAGAACAAAGACTTTAGCGGAGTTTCCAAACCATGTTTTGAAAGACTATGATATAACGCACTCACCGATGAGACGACTCTCCAACATCTTATCCTGGTCACTTTAAAACTTCCCTCTTTACTTTTCGTACTCTGTGAAGATCATTACAAAATAAACGATCAAAATACATCAAAAACAAACAACAGGTAATGATAGGGGGAGTGCTAACCATTCTTCCTTGCAGCCGCGAGCTTCTAACCCATCCTAAGACTAAGTAATAATACCCTACCCTCAACTAGCAGTAAGAGACAGCGCTCTAACCACATCTGTCATCCTTGCTTTCCTAAAGTAGCAGGCTTAACTCAGCAGTAAGAGACAACGCTCTAACTAAATCTATCATCCTTGCTTGTAAAGACGATTATGTACATGTAAAGACGATTACCTGTGTTCCAATGAGTTTGAAGTTGAGCTCGTATCCACCAATATTTATGATAACATTTGAATTACTCTCGGGGAAATCCATCTCACATGGTTTGAACTGGAGATAGCTGTAGAATTTCTGACTTCTTGCAAGTTTTAGATACTGAAAAAGATCAATGTATAACATATAAAATAACTTATATTACCGTACTTAATGAAAACGGAATTCTGGCTAAGGGAGTTCTGCTATTTGAAAAGGGAGTTCTGCCATTTGAAAAAGGGAGTTCTGCCATTTGAAAAAGGGAGTTCTGCCATTTGAAAAAGGGAGTTCTGCCATTTGAAAAGGGAGTTCTGATTTGAAAAGGGAGTTCTGCCATTTGAAAAGGGAGTTCTGCCATTTGAAAAGTGAGTTCTGCCATTTGAAAAGTGAGTTCTTGTGTTTCATCTTTATTTGGATTTAAATCCAATGATCACCTGTTGCAACTCAGTTCACACCTTCTCATGGCTAGTTAATCATAAACATATGATCATCCATTTGAAAAGGGAGTTTTGCCATTTGAAAAGTGAGTTCTTGTGTTTCATCTTTATTTGGATTTAAATCCAATGATCACCTGTTGCAACTCAGTTCACACCTTCTCATGGCTAGTTAATCATAAACATATGATCATCATGTACCTTTTTTCTCTCGTTCTTTGTCTTCAAATTATTAAGCTCCTCCAGAGTTTCAGGCGTTGTTATGACCCAGTCTCTCTCAACGTCACTGACAGCCTGTAAGTTCACAATTTGTGATCCTAAATTTGTCTAAATAACTGATGCAAGTTGATTGAAAATATTACTACCTGAACAAAGAGAAGATTTAGTGCAATCTTGTCCTTGTATAACTCATCTTCT